ATGCTTCTCCTCCCCTCCCTCCCCTCCCCCCAAGTTCATCCTGCTCGAATGCGATGCTCAAGTTCGTAAATGATTTCACACGCTTGGGGATTTTCTATCTCTTTTTTTTTCCTTTTCTTTTTCTTTTTCTGTTTTTTTTCTTTATCTTTTCTTTTCTTGTTTTCTTTTGAGTGAGAGATCGGTTTTCTTTTTATAGTGAATATCTTTTTAATTCCTCTCTCTCTCTCTCTTTCTTTCTTTTCTTTTTTTTTTTGTCTGTTAGTCTCTTTGTCTCTTTTTGTGGGTCTCTTCTATATATTTCATTTTTTTCTCTCTCTCTTTCTTTTATATTATCGTAATGAAACAATTCACTTTTTTATAATTCTCTCTTATTTAGTTTCTCTCTCTCTTTCGCGTTTTTTATTATTTTCCCTTCCATTTCTTTTCTTCTTCTTTTTTTACCTTTCCCCAATACGTAGTTTGCATTATTTTGGTTGTACTTTTTCTCTTTTTTCATTCCTCTCTCCATCGCTCCTTCTTAAAATCTCTCCTAATCTCCCGGGCTTTCTCCTCCGACAGGGTCAAGCCCCGGAGGCCGACGACGAAAACGCGCCGCAGAAGAGAGTCGACCAAATCTTCTCCCAAATGGACAAAAACCACGACGAGAAGCTCACCCTCGAGGAGTTCAAGGAGGGCTCGAAGGCTGACCCCAGGATCGTCGAGGCCCTGTCTCTCGGGGATAACTGAAGCCTTCGCGTCCTCATCTGCTTGATCTTGCACCCTGATCCTGTCTCACCTGCATCCCTTGCAAACACTTCTTCCTGATGCTTCATCTGCGTCGTCTACCTCCTCCTTTACTTGTTCCTCCTCTTCTGCTTCTTCTCCTTCTTCTCTTTCTTCTTCTTCTTCTTCTTCCTCCTCCTCCCCTCCTTTACTTATTCCACTTCTCCTTATTCCTCCTCTTCTTTCTCCTCCTCCTCCTCCATCGTGACACTCACAAGTCGTCTTTCAACGGCGGACCTTCAGGTGGCGATCTGCTGAGCGAGAAAAAAAGGTCCCCCCCCCCATCGACACTCGCCAACGTCGTCTTAAAAAAAATAATAATAATAATAATGTTCAACAAAGTCCTTTCGAGAAAATGGAAGCCTTTTATTTTCGGTCTTCATTTGTCGTTTTCTCTCTTTTTTATATCTCATTCTCCTTCGTTTTCCTTCGTACTGCATAGCTTGAGCACTTTACCCATGTATTGTTATTACTCTGAACAGCAGTTAATCAATACTCATAGCGAGATATGAAGGAAACGTATATATATATATATATGTATAAATAATACACGTTTGATATGTAATCCTTACTTTAGGGAATGTTGGTTAATGGATGTGTTGATTTGTACCTGTAATCGTATGTTATCTGGTTAATGCAAGGTAATGTTCCCACGTTCTCACATTCTCAACATTTTAATCACTTTCTGAATATATTATTCTGTATAAAGCATAGACGCATTAACCACTTCTTTTTTTCTTTTCTTTTCTTTTTTTAACTATAATGCCATTACTCAAATCATGTATATTCCAATCTCCATTCTCCTTTTGAATTACTGTGTACTTTCTGCATGAATCAAAAACATAATCATTAATGGTTGTTTAAAGAAAGAAAATTCGAAAATGACATAAATATGGCGACAGGTTGGAAGGGTCGATACTACTTTAAACAAGACGTTTTTTCCCCCAGCGGTCTCGAATGTCAATAAACCCTAGTGTATCTATCGCATTCACCAAAATAATCTTTATCATATATCTTGGGAGACTTCATTTGAAGAAAAAAAAATAATAATAATAATACATAGATCTTGAAACCTACCAATCTTTAAACTAGATAAGGAAGATAGACGAAATGGATTTTTTTAGAGCTAGGTCCGAACTCTTTACTCTTATGAAAAAAAAAATAATATTGTAAAAAAAAAACTTTGATATTGGAGCTGTCGGTATAATCGAATAATAATTAGTATGATGACGATAATTATTACTAATAATGATGATGATGATGACATGCAATTCATCTCAATTAAGTCTTCAAACTTAATCCAAGGCGAGGTTTCCGACACTCGTCTTGATAGCCAATCAAATCAAAGCTCACATACCGAGAGCGCACCAATCAGCTCACAGGTTACGTATCAGTGTATAGGTTGAACGGCATTCGCGTTCAACTGGGAAAAAGGAACAGTTCTTGCTCTAATTCTTAGTGTTAATGTTCAGAGTTCAGAGCTGGGACCGGCGCCGTGTAGACATTAGACTTATTATCTGCAGCGGAACATTCAAAACACTTGCTCATAACTGCAGGTCATTAAAGAAGAAAAAAAAAAGATTAATAATAATAATTAATAATAATAATAATAATTAATAATAATAATATAATAATAATAATAATAAGTTTGGCTTTGTTTGTACGCTTAGAAAGGTGCATGAGAGCAGCGTTTTATCATCAAAGAATTTTTGGACAATATACCGTTATAATCTTTTTATCACGGGCGTTACTATTGATAAACATAGACCTTTATGACCGTTTTTGTCACAACTTTTTTTACGTTATTGTTCAAAGGGAAGCTGAGCGAAGCCAGAACAAAATGGCGGCGTATTTTCGGCTTCCTCGTCTGTTTTCCAACACTACCACTGATGTTACAAAATAAAAAATAAAAAACAAAAAAACAAAAAAACAAAAAAAAAAACTTTGTACCATGTGTTCAACTTAAAAAAAAGAAAAAAATACAAACCCTCTGGCACTCAATATAAGGATTCGAATTCTGATACCCCACTTAACGTAAACGACTTATCAAGGTCACTGGAACAGGCATACTCAAACCGCCAGTGAGCTTCTCTGGCCTATCCCTTGGGCGTTGCATCTTTTAAAACCGATCCCTTAGACATTGCATCTTTTAAAAGTAATAATACAAAGTGGAGAGTGATATTACTTACTAAATAACGATATTGATAATGTGTGATTTCAGAATACGAGCCAACGTGTCAACCAGTTGCTTGAGTGGTGTTCCGGTGTCGTTAAAAAAGAGAGAAAGAGAGAGAGAAAAAAAATATGAAGAAATGTAAAATGTGATGCTGATTATAGCATCTACCCCATAATTCAATCAAATTGTAACTAAAATTTGTTATGAATACACGAACGCAACTAAATATCTCAACTCTCGTTAAAAAAAATAAATAAATAAAGTTCTCTCGTATCAAAAAAATTAAAAAAGGAAATAACAGTAACGCCGCTTATCTCTCTCTTTGCGTTTTCGGATTTAATGTGATGCCGGAAATACCATGTACTCTGTCACCTCGCTAGGATGCTTATTGGGATATACACGCAAAGCTCAGAGGGTTGATAGGGACGTTTTCAATATATTTTAAGTTATTCTCTTTCATAATTTGGATGATTTTCAAGTGATTTCTTTTTTCCCTCCGTCTTTCTGTCTCTATTTGTCTCCTCTCTCTTTTCTCTCTTCCTTTTTCTCTCTTGTTTTTTTTTCCCTCTTCTCTTTTCTCTCTTCTCTTCTCTCTCGCTGTTTCTCTTTGTGTGTTTCTCTTCTCTCTCTCTTCTCTCTCTCTCTCTCTCTCTCTCTCTCTCTCTCTCTCTCTCTCTCTCTCTCTCTCTCTCTCTCTCTCTCTCTCTCTCTCTCTCTCTCATTCTCTTTCTCTCATTCTCTATCTCCTAATATTCATTCTAATCTTTACTCACATCTATGCATATATTCACTTCCTATTTACCTTAACGATCTCAAATTCTCTCTTAACGATTCAAGTTCAAATTAACTTCTAACATAAGTGAATAATTTCTTTGAAACGATAATATATTTTTTTTTCTCTTAAGAATATAAACAGTGAAAGCAGTTTTCTAGAACAGCTTAATATAGAAACACTCATTTACGCTTAGATTTCAGTCATGTAAAGCTAATATACATTCAAGCAGTACACACACACACACACACATACACACACACACACACACACACACACACACACACACACACACACACACACACACACACACACACACACACACACACACACACCCAAGCAGCACACACACACACACACACACACATGCACACACATACACACACATATCCATACAACAATAAATACACATATAAATACACCCTCAGGTTGGAGAGAGAGAGAGACAAAACATATATATATCTACAAAATAATATAAATAAAATTCCATTCACACTCACACCTCAAATTATAGTCTGTAGGTCTTTAAATATTATGTAGCTCGTCGAGACAAACAGACAAAAATATCGCACATCTGATGTTGACACCCCTTGTAGAGAGAGACAGTTCTTGCGCTTAGAATACCTTCCTTGTTAGTCAAGATTCTACAAAAAGAAGAAAAAAAAATATGGGAAAAAAATAACAAAAAAAAAAAAAATAGCTTTTTACTCAAGTTTCATCATGTCACCCCCTCCGCCCCTCCCCTCCCCTTTCCCCCCTTCCCCCCTTCCCTTCTCCCTCCCCGGTCCACTGAATCCTCATATAACGGTATGGTAATGATTTAAGCATAATTTTGTGTCCTATGCGCTATGCTATATCTGTAGGATAATGTTTACAAAACAAAAGAAACCCTAAAAAAAAAAAAAAAAAAAAAAAAAAATGTTTTTTCATAATAATATTAAGTGCCCATTTCTGCAACATGTGATAAAAGTCCAAACCTGCATGTGTGTTTCATCATATACTTATCTACTACGTGCAACTTTTTTTAAATAAAAGAATTTGATTTACCAAACCGAGGCCATATTTCATTTCGTGAGGCCTATGCCGCAGAAAGCTCGTATTCTGAAGCTGCACTGACCCCTCAGGTGTGTATGATGATGAAGACGAAGAAAAACCTTTTAAAACATTCAAATGAGAATTTGATTTCTAAAAAAAAATAATAAAAATAAAAAATGTTCACTACCAAGCAGAATTAAGATTAAGGAATACGAGACCTGAAGATAGGAAATATATGTAGTTATTTGTGCTGTA